GCTTTGATTATCATGTATTTGATGGTATGATCTAGAACCCTGCTAATAATTTATTTTTAATGAAAAGCAGCATTGGAACCAAAGAGAAACTAAAGAACAGAAGTTCAGTCCCTTAATATCTCCCCCCCCCCCAAAAAAAAAATAGGCCAAAAACTGAACAATATGCTTGTCCACCTCTGGTCTCCTGGTGGCAACAAAGCAAAGTGGCTGTGGCAGAACCATTCCTTTCATAACCTCAGATTTTCACTCTTTTTCTCTGGGTGTATGCCCCAAGGCATACCTGAAGAGCACATTTTACAAAGCCACTGTTATAATCCATGTTATGTGGAAAGCATTAACTAATCTCTGATTTAGGACTACAGTTTGGGTCAAAGATACATAGGGGCATCCTACGTTTGACACCAGAACTCTTCCGTGGCAATCTTCCTCTTCTCCAGTTCTCCCATTAACTACCTCTCTCTAATCCAAGAATGGGGATGTTTTCCATAAAGGTGTAAAGGCAGCCTATGGAAACTTCTCCCTATCAGCCAGGATAGGGAGACACTGTCTATCCTAGGCTCCTGGATCCCCCCCCCCCCCACACACACACAGCCTGAGGGAGGAGATGAGCAGTTCCTAGTTGGGAAAAGGGTGATTCATAGGTTTTCCTGCTGCAGTGGCACTGGTCCATGACTTAGCAAATTGAAACATCTCTCCCTACTATTCTGGTTGCAGGAATCCTTTGGCAGAGGAAGAAATTAGATCCTGGAGATATCTTCGCCCACGAACTTTGGAAGGAAGCCCAGCCCGGGCTAACCCACTGCCTTTTCCTAGCTTCTGAACATGTGGGATGAGCACCGGCTTTGTGAGGCTGCCCCACGCGAGCCTTCACCTTGGATAAACGATCACTCTCTTTTGAAGGCCACTTGAGGTTAACCGGCAAAAACGCCTCTCTCATAGGCAGGTTGTGACTTGATTCGCCTCAGGTCTGGATAGAAGGCTCAAGGCTTCCGAAGCAAAGGGGGCTCGCTTCTCCGTACCAGGGAGAGCCGGCGCGTTTCTTCTTCGGAGCACGAGTCAGAGATGGTTCGGTGGCTCCGGGCGCAGCTTCCCGAGCAGCAGCACTGCGGAGGGACTCGTTCCCCGGCTCCTTCCCGCCCCCCCCCCCCCAAATCCTCTACCCCTCTACCGCAATAGGGAAGCTCCCGAGGCGCTCGGTTCTCCCTTTCTCTCGCCCGCATCCTTGACACGGTGACTCACCAGGAGAAGGCTGGAGACCAACGCGGCTCCTCGCGTGGCCTTGCGGAAGGCGGCGGCGGCGGCGGAAGCCCCCATGGCCGGCGCTGGGTACGGGGGAAGATGCTTTCTGAGCGGGCGGAGGCCGTTACGAAGCCATGGAGGCCGAGAGCTGAGAAGGGCGCGCCTTGCCCACCGCCGGAAGAGCTGTCCATCTAGCAGCCCCGCTGCCCCAGTGCCGGGCAGGGGATGGGCAAGGGACGAGTCGGGAAAGGGCAGGCCGGGGAAGGAAAGGGGGCTGGCGGGGGTTTAGCAAAGGGCAGTCCCCCGGGCACCAGGGACCGCTGGCCGCACCGGGCTCCGGGGCCAGCCGTGCGGCAATTCAGCGTTAGGAGCCAAACGACACAGAAGGAGGACTGCGCTCAGCAGGAGAAGCGGCCGGCTTCCCATAGCGACTGGGGGTGGCGGGAGACTCCACTCCCACCTACCTCGCTCCCCAGCCTGTTTCAAATGACTAGAAGGGCGGGGAAATGTCTGTGCCCAAGGCAGCCGGTGGGCGGGAAGAGAGGCGGCGAGAGCGCACATGGGCCGAGAAGGAGAGGCGGGGCTTTCTTTTGTTACATCATCTTTTCAGAAAGACAGCCCCGCCCCGTCCCGCCCAGCCCAGTCCAGCCGAGAAATCTTTCGTCGGACTCGAAACTCCTGTAAGAAGAGCAATGTACTTCATCTCCTTTCCGAAACTAGAGTCTTGTAAGTGCCTGAGCTCATTCCCAAAGGGCCGTTGGGTCAGATGCGATTAACTCGATTCTACAGGAACAAGAATCGGGCACCCGGGCTCTCCCTGGTGCATTAGATTTGGGGGAGACCCTATAAATCAGCCTTATGTGGTAAGGAGGGGCATCATCTTAATTTTTGGCAGCAAAACAGGCTATATGTTAGACTACCGTTTCCATCTTCCTTGATAGTGATCTAAACTGGCTGGAGTTGATCACAACTGAACAATCTCTAGAGAGAACCCACGACTGTTCCAGAACCATGGACAGTCCCATCTTTCTCTCTTTCTCAGAGAGAGAGAGAGAGAATCAGATTATATGTTATCCACTCCAATAAGTTTTTGTTTCCTTGAATTCTGTTCTTATAATTATAATTAAAATTGCCACTTTGCATTAGCATCTATATCTTATTTGTGCAAAGGTGTATATAGGCATTGTAGCTGAACTGCCACTACTCACAGAAGCTATATTAATAGGTTTCATCCACCATTGTATCAACATCAGGCACTCCCAATGTGAATGTCAAGATATAAACCCATCCACTTAATCCATGTGTACTCCTTTCTGTGATTAATAAAAACACATCTTCAGGAACCAAATAAAAAATTTACTTAAAAGATCTATTTCACTGATCTGTATGGTGGCCCATTTGGCTTTTGATATTGTGTGGCTCAGCCAATTATGGCTCTTTCAGCAATATATAGATTAAAGTAGTGGTTTTCAAAGTGTGAACGGTGTGGTGGCTAGTGGTGAAAACACTTGGAAGCTTGAGAGTTCAATCCTAAAAGTGGCAGAGGTTTATCTCCTAGGTTGCAACAAAAAAATATCTATGAACTTTGCATGGCATCAGGAAGGACATCCAACCAGTAAGTGCTTAGCTCCATCATCCAATAGCTCCAACTTTACCCTGAATTAAGGAATTACTGGATCATAAAATGGGAGCTTTTACTAGTGGTTTTCAAAATGTGGTCTGGGATTCTCCAAATCCTTTCAGCAGGTCAGCAATGTCAAATATTTTAGTATTTTAAAATTATTTTTGCAATTTTAATTTCTAATGCAGTGAATATCAATAAACTGGGAAAAAACCAAGGGTTAAGTTTAAGATTTTGCAAGATGCCTGAGAAAGAGGAGGACTTAAAGCATCTAACTTGAAATTATACTATGATGCAGCCGCCTTAACTTGGATAAGTGATTGGCTTAATTTAACAAATAAGGATATTCTTGTTCTTGAATGTATGGTTGGCATGCATATTTAATTTTTAATAAGAAAGTGGACCGGGCTTTCAAATCACATATTTTGAGGAGTGCCTTACTTCGAGTTTGGAAAAAGTATTATTATAGGTTAAACTATAAAATACCTATCTGGGGGATTCCTAGACATGCTGAGGGGATTTCTAAGGGGATGAACTTTGATAAAATTTCGTATAAAGAATTATTAACTTGGTCAGGTTCGGATTGGCATTTAAAATCTCTAGATGTATTAAGGCAAGAAAATATTCTACAGTCATGGTTTCAATATTTACAAATAGTGGACAGGTGGACTGTAGATAAGAAAGAAGGAATAACACTAGAAGATGGAAATCTGGTTATTCAGATTAAAGATCAGAGTCAGGCCCATATAAAAAGAATTTACAATGCTTTAATAGAATTAGACTCTGAAACAGAATTGGTTAAAGACTGTATGATTAAATGGGCTCAGAATATCCAGGATCCGATCCCATTGGACTTATGGGAGACAATTTGGATTAGAAATGTTAGATTTACACAAGCTCAAAATTTGAGGGAAAATTTTTATAAAATGTTTTACAGATGGCATTTAGATCCTAAAAAATTATCTTGTATGTATCCAAATTTACAACCCAAATGTTGGAGATGTGGTAATATGGATGCGACATATTTTCATGTTTGGTGGAATTGTAAAAAGGTAAAGGCTTTTTGGATTATGATTTGGTGGAACATTCAAAAGATTTTTAAAAAGAAGATAAAGTTCACCCCTCAATTATTCCTATTGGGTATCCTTGTGGATTTAAATGACAAAGAAACTACTTTAATGTTGAATTTATTAACTGCAGCAAGGTTATTAGTAGGCTCGTATTGGAAGAAGGACTCGTTGCCTACTTTAGAAGAATGGATATTTAAAGTTTCTAACTTTGCAGAAATGGCAAAAATTTCTGCTTATTTGAAGGATCATACACAAGAAAGATATATTATTATATGGAGAAGATTGATAGATTATATTCAGAAAAATATGGGACTATAAAGTTTTATTTATTTTATGAGTAAATTTTATAGTAACTGTTGTAGAGATTTGTTTATATGACTTAATTTAAGGGGAGTTAAAGGTTAAGTATGATTTTTTTCTTTTTTTTTTCTTTTTTCTTTCTTCTTTTCTTTTTTTTATTATTGTTAACTTTCTTATTAATAACCCTGTACTCTGCTCTGGGAAGCGAGGGGGGAGGGTTGAGGGTGGGTGGGTGGGTGAGTGGGTGGGTAATGATAATATAGTCATGGTAAATGTTTGGGCATTTCCCCTATGCTGCGTTCATGTGTGTGAGAGGGATGAGAGGGGAGGAAGGAGCAGGGAGGAAGTAGGATGGTTAGAGGAGAAGGGGAGGGGAAGAGAGTAGGAGGGGAGGAGAGAAAGAGGAGGGAAGTAGGGAAGGATTAGAGAGGGTGGACTCAGCCTGGGGGGAATGGGCAGGCGGTACCAATGGTTAGGAATTTATTTTAATTGAATTGTATTTTGTATGAATAAATGGAAAATAAAAACTTTTTAATAAAAAATAAACACATACTGCATACAGCAAAGAGCTTTGTGGTCCTCAATCATTTTTAAGAATGTAAAAGGGTCCTCAGACCACAATGTTTGAGAACCACTGGATTGGAAAATCAGAATTTAATTCCTTAGTATTTTCATCATCATCAAAATTATAAGAGTAAAATAAACTAATAATTTCATATCCACCCACAGATGGAGAACCATTCAGAGCTTATTCTCTAATCATCCTTCTGTGACCACTCAGAAGAAACCAAAACTGTATACCCAGGCAGTGAAACTGATTTCCATCTATATAATATAATGTTGTTATCTGGATAACAACAATTTTTGAACCAAACGACCTAACTTACAAAATGTGTCTGAAACCCAAGACCAATGACTCCTGGGGGAATGAAATTTGGAGAAGTTGTGCTGTTCCAGTACTCACGAATGAAGGCAAATATACGTGTCCCAGGATAATGTTGTAAGATCCAATCTGGATTGGTCACCAGGACCAGAGTTTAAGTCTTCCAAGCTTTCAGATTCTTGCTGGAGCCCATCTTCAGGGAACTTCTCTCTCATCAATTCCAAGTGGTTTAGATACTTCACTGGGATGATGAAAGAATATTGTTCCTTCAATGCTGTCAGTGAAAGAGTTAACACTATTCATTTCCCAACACAATTACTTAACTGAACTCTCTGCATCACCATCACATAAACTGAATTGAAGATAGGCTCTCCCATTATTTGAATGAGGAACTTGAATCTTCCAAGGCTTGCAATGGAACACAGATGATAGTGGAAAAACTCCACAAGAATCTTATTGTAACAAAGATAAAAACTGATACACTCAAAAACGACATTGTCATGATTCCAAGAATTAAGCTCAATTTATCAGAAGATGAAGGTACCTCTCTTCAGTGGGCACAGTTCCCAATATAGTCATGCTTTGCTCTCACAATGAAAAGATAAACCATGGAGATTGTGCTGATTTATCTGAAGAAACTGATAATCCAGCATGATCAGCTGCATGTTGCTTTAAATTGAGGAAAAAGAAGTGAAAAGTTTTCTTAAAGAATGTCACCACAAATGTTGCTATCAGAAGCATTTTTATTAAACAAAAAGCATTTATATTTGTCTTGATACAAACCTTTTTTAATAAAATGTTTTTTCTTTAATTTTAAAATCAAAACAATAACTATCAACCAACGGTCTTTCTGTTTCTCTGCTTAGGTAAGGAAATATCCCAGAAAGGATGGCCCAACAGGTCACAAGTTGTCTAGTTATCCGTTAAAATCTTCACACCACTTCATTTCAACAAACTTCAAGTTGTCATAGGCAGCGCTGCGACAGTTGAGAAATTATAGCCATTTTACCTTTTGCTTTCCTTGTGCTTTTTTCTGTTATTTGGGATTCTCAGATGTAGAAGAGGGAAAAGGGGGAATGCTTGAGCGGTTTCTGTTAGCCATAACATTTGTTAGATAAAGTTTTGGCAGGTTGAAAAGTTGGGAAGAGAGCCCGCATTTTAGAATAATTGGTGAATGTGATTTATGACAGCCTTCCTGGGGTGGGCATTGCAACTTGTTACTTTGTATCGGGGGGGGGGAAGGAAACTTTAGTCTTGGGTTCAACTATGTAAGTGCCGATATTTTGTTTCTGAATAAAATGTTCTTTGAGGAATAAATCTTTGCCTTAAAGTTCTTTTAAAAGGTTTCATCTATCGGAACCATGATAGATGAGTGCTTCTTCCTTTTCTATTGTATTGATTATAAACCTGATGTTCTTGATATTTCTCTTCAGAACATAACCTTTTTGATTGATATGTATTATATCTAAAACACATTTTGTTAGTCATTCAACTAATATTGCTGTAAGAAATTGGTCTGCATGATTGGCTTCTCCAGATCATTACTTTCTTTGTAAATTAAAGTTATCTAGGCTTCTTCCCATGTTGGTTGTATTTCCATAGATTGGTTCTTTAATAGCATTTATTGTATTTGCCAATCGCTCCAACTATTCCCCCTCAAGCTCTTTTAATATTGAACTGTCAGAACACCTGGGCCTGTGGCTTCCAACTTTGGTTTATTGCCTTTTTTGTTTTTTATGTAATTATAGGTTTACATAATATTTGTCTAAGCTGATCATTCCTTAAGGACAGACTTTTCAGTATTTTTATTTGTGACCTTTTCATCAACATTATTGGTGGAATATAATTACTCTAAAAAGCTGCCAATTCTTCTTTAATTTCCTATCTTGTATATAACTATTTAATACTTCTTTATTGCTGATATTATTGAAAAGTGTCTGGAAATGATGAAGAAAAACCAACCTGGAATATATCTAAAAATTTGTTAGATAAAGTTTTGGCAGGTTGAAAAGTTGGGAAGAGAGCCCACATTTTAGAATAATTGGTGAATGTGATTTATGACAGCCTTCCTGGGGTGGGCATTGCAACTTGTTACTTTGTATCGGGGGGGGGGAAGGAAACTTTAGTCTTGGGTTCAACTATGTAAGTGCCGATATTTTGTTTCTGAATAAAATGTTCTTTGAGGAATAAATCTTTGCCTTAAAGTTCTTTTAAAAGGTTTCATCTATCGGAACCATGATAGATGAGTGCTTCTTCCTTTTCTATTGTATTGATTATAAACCTGATGTTCTTGATATTTCTCTTCAGAACATAACCTTTTTGATTGATATGTATTATATCTAAAACACATTTTGTTAGTCATTCAACTAATATTGCTGTAAGAAATTGGTCTGCATGATTGGCTTCTCCAGATCATTACTTTCTTTGTAAATTAAAGTTATCTAGGCTTCTTTCCATGTTGGTTGTATTTCCATAGATTGGTTCTTTAATAGCATTTATTGTATTTGCCAATCGCTCCAACTATTCCCCCTCAAGCTCTTTTAATATTGAACTGTCAGAACACCTGGGCCTGTGGCTTCCAACTTTGGTTTATTGCCTTTTTTGTTTTTTATGTAATTATAGGTTTACATAATATTTGTCTAAGCTGATCATTCCTTAAGGACAGACTTTTCAGTATTTTTATTTGTGACCTTTTCATCAACATTATTGGTGGAATATAATTACTCTAAAAAGCTGCCAATTCTTCTTTAATTTCCTATCTTGTATATAACTATTTAATACTTCTTTATTGCTGATATTATTGAAAAGTGTCTGGAAATGATGAAGAAAAACCAACCTGGAATATATCTAAAAATCACAAAAAAATGAACTTGCCAAAGCAAAGGAAGAGTTCTTATATGAACCTGCACCACAGCAACAATGATAGCATTATTAGATTAAGAAGTGCTTATGCTTTTCTATCAGCCATCGTCATCCAGATGTCCTGTTTAAGATTACTCAGACTCTTCCTGAGAAGGACAAGCAGAATCAGCTACAACCCTGGCCTCTATAATGTTTTTGTGTAATACTTTGCTTCTCAAATTCATGAGATTTAGATGCCTTGTGGACAGGTTCTGAAGAGAAGACTGGGGCAGTATGTCATCTGGGATTCCTTTTGATTTGTGAACTCTCCAGCATGAGTTCTGTTACCTGCACTCACACAACTCAGGCTGAATGGGAGATGCAGCAGAAGTCCAACAGTGTCTGGGAACTATCGCAACCTAGATGAGGAAAAAAAGCTTAATGTCAACCTAAATAAGATGGGATGTCTGTTAATTCAGAAACCTACTTACTTCAAGATTGCAATTTCTATGACACTGGTTGTGTTTCCCCCCCCCCCAAAAAAAGAGCAGGCCACAATCTGGGCATCCTCCTGGTTTTACCAACTTGAGCTTGAGAACTGTGTAAAAACTGTTGCTGGGAGAACTTCTACCCAAATTGTGGTTTTATCTGAATCATAATGCACAGATGGTGCTTGCTCATGCCCTTGTGATCTTTTAATTAGATTACTGTAAATCACTCAACCAAATACTTTCTTCAAGATAACCCAGAAACTTCAGCTGGTCCAGAATACAATAGCCTACATTTTTGCTGGTCAGTGTCAGTACTGCATAAATAAATAAATTCATGGGGCCAGCTTTGAAGATTTTGATGCAAAATGCAACTGACTGGGGAGATTTGGTTCAGCCATACTAAAGTGGTGTTGCTCTGCACCAGTTATCACTAAATTTCCAAGTAGAATTCAAAGAATTGTTTATGACCTACATGGCTAAAAAATCTTATATGATTTGAATTCCAAGTACCTTTAGGACCACCGGCTCCAGATAGAGACATTCAGCATAGGAAACATACTCAAGATGAGAGAAGTTAGATCAGTGGGGCCTCAGAAAGATCTTCTTGATTATGACCTCCACTTCATTGAATAGCTTTTTCGTCGGGGTTCAACTGATGCACTTTAAAATCATTCTGCAAAACAGTAAAAACAAAGCTGTTCTACGTGACCTTTGGCACTTGAGGTTAATAAAGTTGTGTATTTAGGCATTATACTGTTTTAATTGATTTTTTTTATGGATGATCACAGTATTGCACCCCCACCAAAAAAAACTATTATGATTCTAGCAGTATAGAAATCCAATAAATATGGAAACCTGCCTGGCACAGGAAAAAAAGCCAGAATTAGACTGAAAAGAGAAATTTAAAATTGTGTAATGGATTAAAAGGCAATGTTGGATTTATGGATTGTTTTAAGGATTATGATTTAGAGTTAGAAGCAAGAAAAAATATAAATATATATATATATATGAGGGTGATTTTTAGAACAGATATTTTAAATAGATTAAGAATGTACTTTTTGGAATAATAGATTTATTTTGATGAAAATTATGTATTGGAATTGAAAAAATGTTGATTTTTTAGATTGGGATGGTTTTAATAATTAATGGAGTGTTTTAAATTAGTTTGTTGTTGTTGTTGTTAATTGCGAAGTCGTGTCCGACCCATCGCGACCCCATGGACAACGTTCCTCCAGGTCTTCCTGTCCTCTACCATCTTCTGGAGTCCATTTAAGTTCTCACCTACTGCTTCAGTGACTCCATCCAGCCATCTCATTCTCTGTCGTCTCCTTCTTCTATTGCCCTCAATCTTTCCCAGCATTAGGCCCTTTTCCAGTGAGTCCTTCCTTCTCATTAGGTGGCCAAAGTATTTGAGTTTCAACTTCAGGATCTGGCCTTCTAAAGAGAAGTCGGGGTTGATCTCTTCTAGGACTGACCGGTTTGAACGCCTTGCAGTCCAAGGGACTCGCAGGAGTCTTCTCCAGCACCATAGTTCAAAGGCCTCAATTCTTTGGCGCTCAGCCTTTCTTATGGTCCAACTTTCACAGCCATACCTTGCAACTGGGAAAACCATGGCCTGGACTATACGCACTTTTGTTGGCAGGGTGATGTCTCTGCTTTTTAGTATGCTGTCTAGATTTGCCATAGCTTTCCTCCCCAGGAGCAAGCATCTTTTAATTTCTTGGCTGCAGTACCCATCTGAGGTGATCTTGGAGCCCAGAAAAATAAAATCTGTCACTACCTCCATTTATTCCCCATCTATTTGCCAGGAATTGAGAGGGCCGGATGCCATGATTTTGGTTTTCTTAATGTTGAGTTTCAAGCCAACTTTTGCACTCTCCTTCTTCACCCGCATCAAGAGGCTCTTTAGTTCCTCTTCACTTTCTGCCATTAGAGTGGTATCATCTGCATATATTAGGTTGTTGATATTTCTCCCGGCAATCTTAATTCCAACTTTTGATTCATCTAGCCCTGCTTTTCTCATGATGTGCTCTGCATATAAGTTAAATAGGCAGGGCGACAGTATACAGCCTTGCCGGACTCCTTTTCCAATTTTGAACCAATCAGTGGTTCCGTGTCCAGTTCTCACTGTTTCTTCTTGACCCGCATATAAGTTTCTCAAGAGACAAATGAGATGGTCTGGTACTCCCATCTCTTTAAGAACTTGCCACAATTTGTTGTGATCCACACAATCAAAGGCTTTTGCATAGTCAATGAAGCAGAAGTCGATATTTTTCTGGAACTCCCTAGCTTTCTCCATGATCCAGCGTATGTTGGCAATTTGATCTCTAGTTCCTCTGCCTCTTCGAAATCCTGCCTGTACTTCTGGTAGTTCTCGATCCACATACTGCTGGAGTCTAGCTTGTAGGATGTTAAGCATAACTTTACTAGCATGTGAAATGAGTGCAATGGTGCGATAGTTTGAACATTCTTTGGCATTGCCTTTCTTTGGAATTGGAATGTAAACTGACCTTTTCCAATCCTGTGGCCACTGGTGAGTTTTCCAAATTTGCTGGCAAATTGAATGTAGCACTTTTACTGCATCGTCTTTTAAGATTTTGAATAGCTCAGCTGGAATACTGTCACTTCCACTAGCTTTGTTGTTGCTCAGATTTTCTAAGGCCCATTTCACTTCACATTCTAGGATGTCTGGTTCGAGGTCAATGACCATCTCATTGTTGTTATCTGGGATGTTAAGCTCATTCTTGTATAGTTCTTCTGTGTAGTTTTGCCATCTCTTCTTAATCTCTTCTGCCTCTGTTAGGTCTCTGCCATTTTGGTCCTTTATCATGCCCATCTTTGCATGAAACGTTCCCTTCATATCTCCAATTTTCTTGAAGAGATCTCTGGTCCTCTCTATTCTGTTGTTTTCTTCTATTTCTTTGCACTGTTCATTTAAGAAGGTATTCTTATCTCTTCTAGCTATTCTCTGGAATTCTGTATTCAATTGGGTGTATCTTTCTCTTTCTCCTTTGCCTTTCGCTTCCTTCTTTCCTCAGCTATTTGCAAAGCTTCCTCAGACAGCCATTTTGCTTTCTTGCATTTCTTTTTCTTTGGGATGGTTTAGTTGCTACCTCTTGTACAATGTTGCGAACTTCCATCCATAGTTCTTCAGGCACTCTGTCTATCAGATCTAATTCCTTAAATCTATTTGTCACCTCTACTGTATATTCATTAGGACTATGATTTAGTTCATACCTGAGTGGCCTAGTGCTTTTCCCTACTTTTTTTAATTTAAGCCTAAATTTTGCAACGAGAAGCTCATGATCTGAGCCACAGTCAGCTCCTGGTCTTGTTTTTACTGACTGTATAGAGCTTCTACATCTTTGGCTGCAGAGCACATAGTCAATCTGATTTCTATGTTGACCGTCTGGTGATGTCCATGTGTAGAGCCGTCTCTTGGGTTGTTGGAAAAGAGTGTTTGTTATGACCATCGTATTCTCTTGACAAAATTCTATTAGCCTGTGCCCTGCGTCATTTTGTACTCCAAGGCCAAACTTGCCTGTTATTCCGGTTATCTTTTGGCTTCCTACCTTAGCATTCCAATCCCCCATGATGATAAGGACATCATTTTTTGGTGTTAATTCTATAAGGTGCTGTAGGGCTTCATAGAACCGGTCAATTTCATCCTCTTTAGCACCAGTGGTTGGGGCATAGATTTGGATTATTGTAATATTGAATGGTTTGCCTTGGATTCAAATTGAGATCATTCTGTCATTTTGGGGATTGTATCCCAGTATTGCTTTTCCTATTCTTTTATTGACTATGAAGGCTACTCCATTTCTTCTGAGGGATTCTTGCCCACAGTAGTATATCTGATGGTCATCTGAGTTAAATTCACCCATTCCTGTCCATTTTAGTTCACTGATTCCTAAAATGTCGATGTTCAGTCTTGTCATCTCTTTTCTGACTATGTCTAGCTTGCCTTGATTCATGGATCTTACATTCCAGGTTCCTATGGAGAAAAAATCTTTACAGCATCGGACTTTCCTTTCACCACCAGATATATCCACAGCTGAGCGTCCTTTCGGCTTTGGCCCAGTCACTTCATTCTTTCTGGCGCTACTAGTACTAGCCCGCTGCTCTTCCCCAGTAGCATATTGGACACCTTCCGACCTGAGGGGCTCATCTTCCAGCGTCATATCTTTTTGCCTTTTAGTACTGTCCATGGGGTTTTCATGGCAAAGATACTGGAGTGGTTTGCCATTTCCTTCTCCAGTGGATCACATTTTGTCACAACTCTCTGCTATAACCTGTCCATCTTGGGTGGCCCTGCACGGCATAGCTTATAGCTTCATTGAGTTACGCAAGCCCCTTCGCCACGACAAGGCAGTAATCCATAAAGGGGTTAAATTAGTTAGATTATCTTTTTATATAATAACATAGATGTGATAAGGTATGATAATCAACTGGATGAAATTTGAAGTCTGTGTAATGAATTGAAATGAATTAAGGTTTAACTTTTTTTTTAACTAAGATAGTTATTGTGTAGTGGAAGAAGAAATAAATGAGATTGGTGATAAAAGGAGGGATGAGAGAGACTAAGAACTAGAGTACATCTGGAAGGGATACCTGAATTGATCACTTCTTGATTTAAAGTTAAATTTGATTATGGTAATTGTAAACTGATAAAGTTTTTTAACAGGTTTAGTAGTAATAGAAATCTAATTTAGAAATGGAATATTTTAAACGTAGCATGTTATTAGAGGGACAGTGAATGTATTAAGAGAGGGGACAGTGAATGTATTAAGTTGAGTTGTTTATTTATGTTTTTACTTTTGAATTTCTGATTACCCAAACACTACGGTGTGTCCTGAGTACTTTTTCTTAAAAATTAAAAAACCAAAAAAATATTTTTTAAAAAAAGAAATCCAATAAATAAACAAACAAATAAGGACTCCTACCCTCACCTCTTGGCATACCAATCAGACAATGAGTTGCCCTCTATGTGAAGGTTGGAGACTTAATGCTCCAGGTAGACAGACTGTTAAGTAGTGTTTGGGAAGAGCCAGCATAAATGAAGGAAGGAAAGTAGTAGTGGCCCCAGAAACCAAATTTTACGTGTGGCGTAGGAGGTTAAAATCTAGAGTCATAAAGGTAACTTTTTAAGACTACCACTTCTACATACAGCCCCATTTAGACAGCAAAGCAGAATAACCAGACCAATGTGGCTGTGAGTGAAAGGCAGAAGGTCTCCCCAAAGCCCTCAGAATTTATGCAACTTTGCACCACTTTTGGCCTTGGTGTACCAGCGTGGTATTTTCTCTGCTATTATCTATCTTCAGGAGACCATCTCGCTTAGGGATCCTCTCCTAAAGTCTGTATGAAAAAGAAATAGAGGGCCCATAATCTACGTGCCACTGTTCATTTAATGATGGCTTGAAGCTATGACAACCTCAAAAGTGTGATTTATGGCCCATCCTCAAAGTTACGATTAACACAATACCCCTGAGTCATATTTTGAGTGCTTGGCAATTGGCTCATACTTATGATGGCTGTAGTGTCTTCTGATCACATGATCACTATTTTCAACCTTTCTGGCCAGATAGATGGTGTAGTTTCAATCATATAAGTTAATTGCAAGAGATTTTTGTACCATTTGTTCTTATAATAAAAGTCCTTATACTCTGCAACTTTAAACCTAGCTAGCTTTTTCCAGGGGAATTCCTTCTGATAGTCAAAATAACTTGAAAAGATTATCATCAGTACCTCATGCTGACCTTCCTTACTATTTCCTAACATTTTGCTTTGGCCAGAGAAAAACTTCTATGATCGATTTGAGCTCCAAGATTCCCCCCTCCCCCTTCATGCACTGCTCAAACCCAACCAGTGTGACCCTCTGGTCAGTCTGTCTAGTTTCCTTTTTAAAAATCCACATTGGCTCCCCTTACTGCAACTACCAGTAGCAAATTCCAGTTTAACTGTCCATCCTTTTAAAAAATGTTTCCTTCTGTTGGTTCTGATTCTGCCTGCATTTAATTAAAACAGACATCAATATTTGAACACTGTTTTTCTGCATTACATCACATGTGATTTTATATACCTCGATCATGTCTTTTCTGTGTCAGTTCTATTAAACCTTTAAATTGTATTAGTTATTAATTCTATTGATTGAATTAACAATTGATTGTTATGAAGAAAACCTTAACTGTGCATTCACTAAGAATTGATACTGACTTGATGACAAATAATCATCAATTATCAGTTAATCATTACAACAATATTTGAGTCTAGTGTTTTATAGGGCAGTCAGATAATAAGCAAGATAATGGGATATTTAGAATAAATCATTAATAATTCCTAATTCTGAAGTCAGTTTTCTGCTTCCTGAATCATAGGCAGTGTGCTATAAATACTGGATGATGGAAGGTGACAGTAGAAGATGTATACTGCTGTGTAAACTGAGCCTTTACGGTTAATGTATGGTTCTGTGTGTAGTGCAAACAAAATCAATTGGGTTACAACAGTAACTCATGTTTTTAAACTATGGCTTGACATGTTGTAAGAATATAGCCTACAAAGAAATTGAGGAGTAAGGATCAGTTTATTATCTTGATATGATTTACTGGGCCAGACATTTCTGTTTTGCTTCTAAAAGCTTCTTGAAATTTCACATCAAACTAGTACCTTTTCATTGTGTAAGATGTAATTGTTTAAGGGCTGTCACAGACAAGAGAGAGGCAATTTATTCACCATAGTACCTGAGGGCAGGACTAAAAGCAATGGGTGGCAATCCATCAAAGAGAGATCCAGCCCAGAACTAAGGAGAAACTTTCTGACAGTGAGAACAATTTATCAATGGAACAGCTTGCCTTCCAGAGTTATGGGTGCTCCATTGCTGGAGGTTCAAGAAAAGGTTGAGTAGCCATTTGTCCAGAATGGTATAAGACTCCTGCCTTGGACAGTGGGATGGACTAGAAGACCTCCAAGGTCCCAGCCCTATGACTCTAAGGTTTATGTTTTAGTTAGATACTGGAGATTCTTATCCAGAAGACCATACCATAAAATGAAAAGAGTTTGTCCCAGGTTCATTACAGTTGTAAGAAAGTTTTTTTTATTTTTTATTTTATTTTTATTTAAACTTAAAGAACAGAAGCAGCCATGATAACCATAGAAGGGAAGGGAAAATCAGAAATCCACATTAAGATAATACAATCTTTTGTTTTATTTTTGTTTTTCTGCCTTCAACTCAGTGTTGACTCCTGGCAACTGCCAGAACATATCCTTGCAGGTTTTTTGGCAAGGCTTTTGGGAAATGTTGCCATTATCTGCTTCCTAGAACTGAGAGAAAGTGACTGGTCCAAGGTCACCCAGCAGGCAGGGCTGTAACTCACAGTCTTACAGTTTCTAGCCTGCTACTTTAACCACTACACCAACCTGATTCTCAATACTTGTATTAGGCCTCTTTATTTATTGGATAGGAATGCTGCCAGATCCAAATAGACCAATGGCACCTTATAGAATAACCATTAAAGTATTCACAGGGTAATATAAAACATAAACATCCATCGTATAACTTAAAGTATAAGATACTATATATTTGTTCACACCTCCCTTACCTTTGCTGTTTAGGAGGCTCCATCCCACATTATATTAATATTGTTTTTAAAAGAAACACATTGGAATCTGGCATTTGTAAAGCAGCCTATCAAAAATACATATAACTGAATATGTTCCATTGATATTTAAGAGAATAAAAATGACGTATGCCTCTGCCTCTAAGCTTGATTTGGAACAGTCCCATCTGTTCCCAAAGAAGACCGATAAAGGGATAGCAAGGATCTGAGCTGCAACCTCACCAATTTATCATACAGAAAATGGTGTTGTGTGAATGCTGTGCCCCATGGCATACTTTTTGTAAGGAAGCCCTCAGTGTGTTCTCAAAATTCCAAATGTGCCCATTAATCCTACCCATTTCTCAAAATTCCCTCTTTCTGGTTCAGAAGTGCCCGCTTCCCTGTAATTTTTGATTTACATGACACAAATATGCATATTTGTTTTATTCATGTAATTAATACACCTGTTTTGTTTTTCAATTAGATATAACAGGAATAAATCCTAAGCTATTTTCTTAAATAGAATCCATAAGATCCATTATATATATATATATGATTTTTGAGTTGTTTAATACAGGATTCCCCAACCCATTCAGAACCAGGCTACAGAAACAGTGGGGGAGCATGGGCGCAGAGCTGCACTTTCATGAGCACTTGCGTGAGCAGGGAACAAGCACTCATGCACACGAAGCTCCATCTGTGTGAGCAGTGAGTGCATGTGCTCACCACTTGTACAAATAGAGCTGCATGCATGTACATGCTTGCCCACCACTCGTGTGGAACCATCCCCTCCATCCCCCGACTACAAAGCCAAAAAGTTTGGGAAAACTGGTTTAATAGCATAATCAAGAATTCAAAATGATAAAACTAGATATATTTTTTCAATAGATATATTTTTTCATAAAAATGATTTGTTATAACCAAAATACAATTAAAGCTCAAAATCAGAGGCCAAGGAACATTCAATGTTCAAAATTTCCTTTCATTTTTAAAGCATCTTGAAAGCTCCATAGGAGGACAAAAGAGCATGAACAGCAGACCTCTACATTAGCTCAAAAAAGCAAAATCATTTTTTAAACAAACTTTTCTGTATTATTTTATGTTGATTGGTCAAGCTTTGGTTCTTTGCCTGCTGGTGCAAAGTTTTCAGACTGGGCTTTAAAATACAAAGTAAACTTTTGGTTATGTTGATTGGCAAATTGTTGGTATGAATGCATTTTTTTTTTTTTTTGCCATGTTGATGTTCAGCTCAAGGTACATTTTAGAAACTACAAATGATTATATGCATTGGTTTGGCTATTGATTGGTACTTAGGGCATTGGTTCTAGGAATCCTGTTGGGTAAATGCATTACGTATTGGGTTCAGTGCTTCAGGATAAAGACAGAGTTTGTGACCTGCCCCCTCCCCTGTTCCAACAGAAGGCAGAGCTAATGTGAGGTTTGTTCTGTAGTCTATCTCTATGTGTCCCTAGTACAACATTCTAAATGGAGTTGATCTATTTTGAGGTAGAAACGGAATACACATCCCTACACATTGTGCACATCCCTAAGAATTAGCACCATTTCAGAATAACCTTCCAGAAGGTGACTGCAAGGAAAATGTGTCATTGTTTTAGATACCTCACAAATATCTAAGGATTTTTTTTTAAGGTTTTTTTTTTCTCTTTGGCCTACAGGAAAAGGGGGGAACCTAACAAAATGTGCATTTTCAACATCGTGACACAGTCTCTGTTTTCTACATTACTGTAAGTGACATCATAAAATAAGTTTTAAAAAGCTGGAGTTTCTTTCATGACATTACAACACACATCTCATTGTTTTGGCACTATAGTAGATAGAAACAAATGTTTGTGTTTCAGAAGGTGTGGTGGCTTAGAGGTATAGATGCCCGCCTCCCACACAGAAGATTGAGAGTTTAATCCTCAGGGCACAAAGAGAAAATATCTGCTGTAAATTCCATATAGGCAGTAAACAGCTCCATTCAGATCCCCTGACTCTACCCCAGTTAAGCGATTACAGGGTCATGAAAAGAAGAAAAAAGTAGATAGAAAGAAATGTTTGTGTTTCAGAAGGTCTGTAGGAGTATGAACTGATACTAGTGACAAAATTCACTGTGCTTTATATATGAAGACAAACAATAATTTCTGCTACACATAACAAATAGTTATTTGCTGCTTGTTTATTCCATTCCATCCTCTTACTTAGTATTGAAACGTAATGAATAAATAATTTGATAAGATGCAAATCTCAATCCAAAAACCTGTTAGAGGATGTATGATGAAAACCAGTCTTTAACTGGGTTCCTGAAACAGTGGAGATACTGTTAAAAAATCCATGTTTACCTCAGCTTTAAGATGGTAGTTTCCTGTGGTAGGAGCTCTGGTCTTGAAAAGATCCACCTTGGGGGGAGAAAAAAAAAACTAATTAGTGTTATATGAACATATTTTTCTCAGTTCTATTCAGGTTCTCATAATTAAACAGAATTTTTAATGACGAAAGCTGGATTTTAACTGTGGAATATTTATGCTCATAATATGCCATCTCAGATTATCAAAGCCTAAAAAACAACTGGCTTCTCTATCTGATTAGTTCTCATAAAAGATGGAGGCCAGCTACAGATGCATAGGAGAAAATGAATACAAAAGGCTAAGAAACATCAATAGTGAAGAGTTCTCTTTAAGAAATGTAGATCTGGTTCTGTTAGAAATTAGCATTCCTCCATGTAATCAGTTGTTCCTTCTCATTTCACAAGGTGTGCAAAACTCTCTTTCAAGCTATTGTGAGATGTGTGCAGTAGGGAATCAGAAGAAAGGCAATAGCAAAAAGAGGAAAGTGGGGAAGGGAGTGGAGGCCAGTGTTGAAACATAGGATGAATGAATGAAAGAGGGAGCAATTCCATTCTTTATTAATGTGTAATAAGTACCAAAATAAGATCATTGCATATTTACTGATAGCTGATATCTTCAATATTTCCTATTATCTATGTTGGCTAAATGAAAGTTCTACTATAAATATTTGTAAATCAAAGGAGAGAAGAAAATATTTTACATAGTGATTAGAATATTACAGCTTTTCTAATTATCTACCTATCATTTTTAACAGAAATGTGACCAAGAAAAACATTTCAGTGGCCTGTTTAAATTATCTAGATTTTATAAATATAAAGGATAATTGTGTTAAAGCAGTTTAAATTATTTCATTATATGTGTCACTTTTTAAGGTCTCACCTTGATATATCTATACTTCCACTTTCCCCATTTTCAGGAGTGAATTCTATGAAAGTGCCAGGGAAATTCAGTTCTTCGTGAATACAGTAAATTTAAGAAACTATAAAATCCCAATTTTTATTTAATATGCATAATGTAATGATTAAGTCAAAAAGTAACTTTTTAAAAATTGTGCTATTTAATGTTATATTAAAATAAATTCTCTAAATTTTTCTGAAGTAATTTCTTTTCCAAGTTCTTCAAGAACTGAACTTTTCAATGAAACATTCCATGGGAACATTTTGTTAATCATTATGTGAAATAATACCAATTCAAATCAAATCATTTTAATATAAAGGCCTCAGGGGTAATTTATAAGCACTTATTTCCCAAACTGCCATTTAGATACAAAATATCTTTCTCATATTGTTAAAAAACAAGAAAGTATTAAAATTACTGCTAGTTGCTTTTTTTCTTTTTCCTTAACAATATTTGAGAATATTGCCCTTTTAAAATGTATTATTTAAAGTTTTAATAGCTGACTGCCCCAATTAATTAATTACCACATGCCATGAATTTGTTCTTTTGAAGAAACAGACCTTTCAACTTCCCCCATATCTCATCTTTCATTTTTAATCTGTTTATACCTTAATAATAAAATATTGCAACATAAAAATATATTACAGCATCCAATTTGCTTTTTCAAAATATGACTATCAGCATAGTGACCTCTAGTGGCTACACTACTTTAATGGAGTGGAGCACCTAGTAAGCGGAGATGGGAATAAAACTACTAGTGAAAATGAATTTAATGTAAAAATTAAGATATATAAGACATTGAAAACACAATGGGTTTGGGAAAGTGACTATGTTTGTCAACATAGTGACTATGTTTGCTAACGTTTGTCAACTTTAGCAACTTTAAGATGTGTGAACTTCAATTCCCATGCTGGCTGGGGAATTCTGAGAATTTTAGTCCATTTTTCTTAAAATTACCAAGGTTGAGAAACATTGGACTAGACACATCTTCATAAAATATGAACTAAAAATGTATGTGTGAATGCTAGAAAATTATGTATTCTATTTCTTGCCCTTATTTTGTTGCCTCTGTATCCAATCAGTGCCAGTTACCTCCAAGATTATAAGAGGACTAGTCCACTTTGGTATAGTCCACTTTGGAAAACAGACTCAAGATTCAGAGGGCTTGACAAACTTGAGCATTGGGCCCTATCCAACAAGATGGAGTTCAATGGAAAGAAAAGTAAGGTCCTATACTTAGGCAGGAAAATCAGCTACACGGGGATCTGATAGGCAATAACTAATTCAATAGTATTGCTTCTGAGTGGGATCTAGATATCCCAGTGGACCAGCAATAAGTCAGCAGTGTGCTGCAGGTGCCAAAAAAGCCAATGCAGTCCCAGGCTATATCAACAAAAGGACAGCATCAAGACCAAGAGAAATGATAGAGTACTGTTCTATACCACACTGGTGAGACCACATTTGGAATACAGCATCCAGTTCTGATCACCATAATACAAACATGATGCTGAAGCTCTAGAACAGTGGTTCTCAACCTGTGGGTCAGGACTCCATTTGGGGTTGAACGACCATTTCACAGGGGTCGCCAAACAATGCAGTTCGCCATTTTTTCCCCCTTTTCCTTAGCTGTTGAATAGAGTCTAATTCTATTGGCTTTCAAAAGCCAATAGGAATTGTCCAGGCTGTCTCTGCCCGCCAAAAGTCCCATTCTGCAAACGGTGCTGCACCAGTTGAGTAGTCCTCGACTTACGACCGGTTGAGTAGTCCTCGACTTATGACTGGTTGGGGGTCACGGCATTAAAAAGGTTGAGAACCACTGCTCTAGAAAGAGTGCAGAGAAGAGCAAAAAAGATGATTGGGGGACTGGAGACTAAATCATACGATGAACAACTAAAGCAATCGGGTATGTTTAGGTTAATGAACAGAAGACTCAGGGGAGCTTTGATAGCAGTCTTCCAATACTTGAATGGCTGACACAAGGAAGATACATTGATTTATTCACCATCATACCTGAGAGTAGGTGTCAGACCTCTCTATTTTACCTGCTGGCATTTTATTACTGCTTTGATTGCTTGTTTAATCATTTTCTTGTTTAATCATTTTTGAGGTTTGCCATTCTGGTGGGAGGGGGGCTGCTTGCTGGGGGATGTATTCACTTTGATTACTTTTTGAGTCACCCTCTCTCCATGAGAAAGGAATGTGGCCTAAAGACAACTGCCTTATTTCCAGATAGCGGAGCCTGGGACCGTTGGGAAACGAAACTGAGAGAGACCTTGAGATGTTCATTAAATTGCCAGGTTCTCAAAACATCTTAGCACCTATGGATTGGCTGGAATTCAAACTGACTGTTGGACATTGGGGGGAGGAGTTTTGAATGGGCATTATGATGTAACCTTTCACGCATGAAATCTTTGCTCTACTGCTATCACTAATTCTCAATCAAAGTTCCTTTTGAAACAATGCCTGTTTCAAGAGTTCTGCTTTCTTGGGAGACCTAACTGAGGTAGATCCGTACAGTAGGACAAGAGGAAATGGGAGGAAGCTTGTCAAAGGGAGATCCAATCTGTAAATAAGAAAAAATTCCTGACACCGAGAATTATCAAGCAATAGAACAGCTTGCTTCCCGAAGTTGTGAGTGCTCCATCATAGGAGATTTGTCCAAGATGGTATGAGATCTCCTATCTTGTGCAAGTGGTTTGAACTAGAGGTCCCTTATAATCCTCTGGTTCTATATTATTGTTGGATAAATGTTTCTGTCTGCGTTTTAATTGTTTTATGATTTACAGAATTTAGAAGATGGATGCTTAGTGCATAGGGATGAGTTGAAACTATAACTTTATGAATGCCCAGTTGGGAGACACCATTCAAGACTTCTATAGGTCATCACACTGAAGAAGGATGGGAAACTAGAAATGCTTTGGGAGCTTCAATTCATAATCATTTAAAACTCTTTTGAGTTCAGATTTCTTATATCTATCAAATGGACTAAATAGAAATAAACAGCAAATCCTTCTGTTAGGTAATGAAACACGACTACTCTCTCAAATCTTTCTGCAGAAAAATATTCTGCATCCTGAAGAGATGTCCGGAGTTGGATTCACCATTACAAAATCTGCCCCTTTTATTTTTGCTTTGTGTTTTTCAAAGAGTAAATACAACAGCAGTGACAGTTTAGTTCATGTCAGTATAGAATGGACTATCAAACTTTTTATGTAATGCAATTTTTCTGATAGCAGTCTCTTTTCTTCCCGTAGTATTACCCCCTCAGAGGCCACCAAAGCCCAGGCCTCCCAGCCCCGCTCCCCTCCGTTGCGCTCTGCATCTGCACTCTCAAGGTGTTAGTAAAGTGTCTTTTCTAGCAGAAGTTCATGCAAAGTGAGGAAATGGCAGACTCTTGTCATCAAAGGGGGGCTTTCAGGAACAAAGATAACCAGTCCCTAGCCCTGATAGTCAATGTGTGATGGCGTTTAACAGTCCCAGGCAATCATAGCAGCAATAGTCAATTTCACAGCGACCGTTTGGAAACAAGTGGGGTGGGGAAAACCCCCAGCTCCAGGCAGCGATAGGAACACGAACGAAGGTAGTCAGCATTCTGCAACAACAGCTTGCCCCACAAGGGCAACTCCCCACAATGTCTATAACTTGTACAAGTAACAATGATCAAAGTTTGGATGGCCATTAGTCTCCGAAGCAGTAACAACCAGCCTCTCCTTCTCTTCTGCCGTTGCTTGCAGTCTCAGGTCTCGTCAGTGTCAAAACCCTTCCCCCCTTTTCTTTATTGTTAAAATCTGAATTTAGCAACCCCAGCAATTTTCTCTCTCCTCACTCTCTCTCTTGTCTCCGCTCAGGATATCCCCCCTGCGAAAGAAAGCAGTAAAATTCCACCTTCTCACTCTCTCCTTCCCTCTCCTTCACAGAAAGGGATCAGCTAAAACCTCAAATCCCTCTTTGACTTCACCTGGTCTCTCTCCAACAACACCAACCACCCCCACCCCCTTTCTTTCCTCTTTTTCTTTCCTTCCGCCTGATCCATGCCCACTGCACCCAAAACCGGCATCAGCTGTCTGAGCTTCCCTCTCCCTGGGCAGGCTCTTGCAAAGCCTTTCAGCCAAACCCCACTACATTACCTTTTTTCTTCCCACAGGCTATGTTCCCACAACATACTCCTCCATAGTTAACTTAATCTTAGCTTGCTAACTCAGTCCAAATGCTTGAATAGAATAGAGCAGGAAGGGACTTTGGAGGTCTTTTAGTCGAGCCCTCTGCTCAAGCAGTGAACCTATTATCTCAGATAAATGACTATGCAATCTCTTCTTAAAAACCTCCAGTGATGGAGCACCCATGATTTCTGAAGGCAAGCTGTTCCATTGGTTAATTGTCCTTGCTGTTAGGAAGTTTCTCTTTAATTCCAGGTTGCTCCTTTGATCAGTTTCCAACCATTGTTTCTTGTCCTGCCCTCTGGTGCTTTGGAGAATAATTTGACCCCCTCTTCTTTGTGGCAGCCCCTCAAATACTGGAATACTGCTATCATGTCACCCCTATTTCTTATTTTCTTTAGGCTAGCCAAACCCAAGACCTGCAGCTGTTTTTCGTATGTTTTAGTCTCCAGGCTGTTGATCATCTTAATTACACTGTCAAGCCCCTGGGCTTGACATGAACCGGGTGATGGGGAGCACGCAGCCAGCAACTGAATGGCATCCATATGAGGCCAGTGAGCACTGCCTGACTCCCGACAGTCAGTTGGGAGTCAGGCCAGCCTCCGGAGGTTGGCACGGAACCGGCGGGACTGCTATGCACCGCCCGGTCCCCGGCAACCAGCTGAGAGTCAGGCCTGCATGCGCGTGTCAGCTGGGGGTCAGTGGACGCGCCGCACGCCGCCCGACTCTGGAAGAACAGCTGGGAGCCGGCCCAGCTTCCATGTGTTGGCTTGGCTCCTGGGAGACAGCTGGGAGTCGGCCTGGCTCCCTGCCAGCAACTGGGAGTCGGCTTGGCCACTTGACGATGAAGGTGCCTCCCTCCAATGAGCTGGACACAAGAGGCATTCCCACCGCTGGCTGGACATATGGACTTGGCTGCCTTCCCCTCCAGCTGGATGTGGGGGGAGGAGGCAGAGCGCTGCTTTGTTGCCTGAGAGAGCAGCTGGAATGGCAGAGGCTCCATGGGTGCATCTGGAGGGGGGGGGAATGCGGACATTGAACTGCGTCTTTTATCTGTACGAACCGGATGCTGGCTTGCTGATTGGGGTGGGGTTGGTCGGAGGGGCACGTCAATGTAAAGCACTGAGAGCAGTTCACTCTCAGTGCTGACTTTTTCTTTGCATTAAAGTTTGCTAGTCACCTGTTCCTTTTGTGTCTGGAGTTTGTCGGCAGCAGCAAAGAACATTTGACATACACATCTTAAACTAATGTGTCTGCCTACCATGTTGTCCCAAAGCCAACCATGGCACACCACTCTCCTGGAGCAGCTATTTGGTCCCTTGCATTAACACATACAGGCTTTGGTCAACGTGGTCTTTGAAGCAAGGAATTGAAAAAAAAACATGGAGGGAAAGGGTTAAAATTATTACCAAAATTATGATGCCACTTCTGTATCGTCTATAGACTCCTAAGGTTATATAGTTTCCTCCAATCAGCTGGAGCTGTCTTACCTTCTCCAAACTCTGATGGCTGGCTTTCAAAGCACTAATGGGTCTCCTTACAGTTGGTACCATTTAGGAAAAAGCAGCAATCGTCATACACCATTAACCAACGATATGCCTAAAAATGGAATCATCAGCTATCAGCATAATTATTTTCTGCAATTAGCAAAGATTCACAAGATGTACTCTTCACATGAAAGCTGTTGATTTGTAAAATTATACCTAGATGCAGTCTCCTTGTAATTGTAATTGTTCATATTTCTTCTTCATAGTCATAAATTATTCTTAAGTATTTATTAACAATGCATTTTCACTGGAGTTGTTACTGCTGTTTTTACTAATGAAAGAATATACTTATAAACTACCCTGCCAAGTAGCTGATAATTAAAACTTGATGTCCAGGATTTTAGAATATTAATCTATAGAATCCATAAGAAGTCTTACATATTTAATATTTCAAGATTTCCCATGTTCATAATTTTATAGTTACACAATGTACTTTGCTAGATATGTTTCAAACTGCTCCACTTTGAAGACAGAGGTCTACACATTTGTTTGAAAAGCAGACAAAGGGGATGATATGCAGAAAAGAATTTCTTAACTGGTTTATACCTGACACTCCAGCAGCTTAAGCTTGCAGCTGTGGGAAGTCAACCCCCCCAGAGAAGGAAATATTAAAAGGACAGGAAAATATATTTCCTGAAAGGCAGGAAAGTATGCCCAGTTTTACTTAATAGCCCAAAGTCTGCCTCCCCCAAGCAGAAACCAGCTCTAGAAATGTAGAAGCAGACCATCCAGGAAAGTGTAGCTAAAAGTTTAGGAAGACAAAGACACCTGAAGTCTACATAGCCCACCCAAAGTCTAAGACAGGACATAATACGATTAACTCACAGATGACAAAGGGACACAGGTCAGAATACATGACACAGGAAATACAAAGCCTCAAACAGAAACAGGAAATAACCTTCAAACAAAGGGCTCCAGAGGGTATAAAAACCCACTCCCCACATGTGCTGGGCCCTTTTTTCCTCTTTTCTGCCAGAACCATCTTTCTGTCTGGCTCTTGTCTTCAATAAACTGCAACCATCTTTCTAAAGCAGTTGCCATATTGTTTATCCCTGGCTTGGACTGAACCACGATGAAGATTTTTCTTCCAACACAGCAAAGGATAGACCAGAGTCATAATTTCCTCGTGGTAGTGTTGCCCTGCATAGTGATGATCTGGGGTTCTCCTGAATGTGGAGGATTATTACTGAGTGAGCAGTAATGAGAAAACTAAGAAGTTGACAAATAGATTTATGAATAGAATACTGGTCCTCATGGGAACAAAAACAGAGACAGTGTTTTTAATACGAAGCTGTCCATTTATTGCTTCCCATCTATTATGTTTAGCTGGACAACACACATATGGCATCCCCTGAAGGAAAAAAAAGAGCATAAAGAAACTAGTTTACAGTGCTGGTCAAACATCTAAATAATATCCTTAGCACTTGTCTGAAGTAAACCACATTTAAATTTCTTAAGTCAATATCCTTTCATTGACAAGAAGTCATCTTGGCAGCATACTTCTGGAAGTTTGTGAGGAAGAAATTCAATTGTAACATTTTGTTTTGGAAAAGATAAGACTACATAGCTTTCAGCAACATACCCAAACTTGTACACTTTGTATTATACTTTGCATTTTGCATGCTTAACATATCTGTTCCTGTTTTAGCTTTAGTGGGGATGTAGTACCATTTGGGTTATAAATTGTTTTGCAGAGTCTAGTTTCTCCGTTCCTGACAAAAATATCTGTTCATTCAGATAACATTTTGGGACACATCTATGGCCATTTCCCCATTATGAACCAGCCTTTTATTTGATTAGGAACAGGGATCATTGGTGGTATCTAAATCAGGCCATCTCACAACTGTCAAAGATAGCTGGTAGCTTAGTGGGAAAGTATTGACATCACTTGCAGAAAGCCCCACCTTTAGTTTAGCATGTTCAGCTGAAACACCCTGAAACCTGATGATAATCATGCAGCATAGTGTTTTAAGTTCCAGGAGCCATTGCAGCACAGAGAAAAAGCAAGATGAAGGTTGAGAGATGGAGAAAATAGAGAACAGCATGAAACATTTTATGTAATAAAAGATTATAGGTTACAACTTAATCTGGAATCTGTCTTTAAAAAAAAATCTAAGAAAAAGACACAGGATAGCTAATTCTACATTTTGTTTTATTTTAAAAACAAGGGACTTCTTGGTGGCTGAATAGACAGCTGTTTCAGCTTTTTTGCCTTCCTGAGGATGAGCTTGTTTACTCAGTAAAAATTCATGTGGATCTGATTTTTATGATTTTTCTTTGTAAAGCTTCAGAAAAGTATTGTATTATTTTCTACCGAAATCAGTTATAATCAGATTCCTGCATTTTCTTGTTGATCACACAGGCAGTACCCCTGAAAAGTGTAGCAAACATCCTGCAAATACCTTGTTTAGTGTGACCCTAGTTTTTAATTTGATAGTGTTTTTAGGAAGTTTAGATTTTTAAATATTTTTGTGTATTTTTGTAAGCAATTTAAACACACAAATCATACTAAAAAGGTTAATATAGTTGTCACTAGGGAAAATGATACTGTATGTGGAAATTCACTCAAGGCTAAATTTTGGAATTCTTGTTTTATTCCCCACTGCACCACTAGGGGGCAATACTATTCCAGTTACTATTCAGGTATCACAAGAAACATTTAATTGTTGGGGCAGATAGCTTTGTACAATAAGAAAAATGTATAGAAACAAAGTTATGAGTATTATATTTGTAGAAACCTCTGGACAAAAAAGTTCTGAAAGTAACATTGGGATAAGAAAGCCTAAGTTACCTAGCCTACCTATAGGTTAAAGCAGGGCTTTTTTTGTCATAGAACGCCCAGAACAGAGTTCTGGCACCTTTTTTGGCTGGAACCTTGTAGGGTAGGCAAGGCGGGTTGTATAACATATGAGTTCCAGCAGCTTTTTTTTTTTTTTTTTTTTACAAAAAAAGTACTCGGTTAAAAGTAGCAAGGAGTATCTGCAAAGAAAGTGGGCAGAGTGTATCAAGAAGAACCAGGGACTGTAATTGGTGAGAACGTGAGACATCAATTGGAGACATATTATATAAAAACATGTAAAGTAAGCATTCCTAGACAAAGAGCAGATTACCTTTTCTAATAATCTCTCCATCAATTGACCTAGATGGCTCATGAATCTGTGAATACAAGCTTGAATCTTCCAACAGCCTTCTTCTCTCTCGTTATAGCCACTTCACTGTTATCACTCAGTATCTGGAAATAATGTAAAGTTGTAGCTATGGCTTTTCAAATTCCATGTGGTTTGGAACTAGGCAATTTGTAAATGTCTGTTCTCCCATTCGTTTTAAGATCTTGGGAAAATCCCTTCTTGTCTTGTCACACCTTCAGAGGAAATGCAAGAGAGGCTTTCCCGGCACAGGTCTCGGGCCCTGGAATGCCTTATGGTCAGCTCTCAATTATCTTTCTGCTGTCAAAAGCATTTTATCTGATGCTCTTCTTGCTTGATATCTAGAATAAGTTTTATGCTGGAGTACTGCTTGCAATACAAATATTTTAGTAAGAAATAGATGAATCGTTGTGTTGAACAATATTTTTAATGGAAATAATGCTGAGTTGTATTTCAATGTAAGACATTGTCTTCATTCTCTCTCTGGGAATCTATGCATTATATAATGCATAATATATCAGATGCAAAAACAAAAGGTAATTGAATACATCATAGCAGCTATATAAGAGCTTTTGATATGCAGGCATCTTTTCTTCAACTATAGTTTGATCAAAGCAGTTTCACAAGCTTTTGAACTGGTAGATTTCTCTGAAAAACCTGTTTGTTCAAAATGGATGACCAGTCTGAAGGGGGAAAAGATTTGCTCATCAGAGGCAGTGGTCATTCTTAATAAGTTCCTGGAAATCTTCCAGTCATCTTAAAAAATCCTCTCCAATAAGTTTGAAATACATTTTCTGTAGTATTTTTTTTTCCTGGACACAAAGTAGAGAACATTGAATGTTGCAAGAATCTATAACCAAAGCTTGACTGAATCCCATGTGCACTAAACATGGCACAAAAAATTAAACAAACAATCCAGTCACTATCTTTGTGGTTACTTGTTATCAGCAGTAATAGCCAGAATGTTTGTAGTAAAACAGTACCTATTTTTGCTATCAGAAATTCATCTTTCAGAAAATCTGCTCATGCTTTTGAATGTATTTAGCAAAGCCTAGTGCTGGTTGATGTCAATATTAAAACAGAGAAAGAAAGGTAGATACTTGGCATTCCTGAAGCATAATTACAGAGTAAGACTTTGCCTTCTCTTGTCTTCCTGTTGGGACAGTCACATTTTTCTCCCTTCTAATAAAAGATTCTATAATTACAGTTTGGAAATGTTTCACTGTAAACTCACAAACGATTTATTTTTAAAGTCTAGAAAAACACTCTGTTAATTGAAATGCCTTGCATCACAGAAGCTTCAGAATTTTATTCTATAAACCTGTACTTGAATGTGCCTTTTGTTTGCACACAAAATATCCAGCTGTTTTGAATTATTACATTTAAAATGAAAATATTCATTTAGAATATTTTTCTTCATTTAGAAGAAAAATAACTTTTAATGAAGATTTATTTATCACTATTTTAATTCAAGCTGGTAAACAGTTCTCATAGCTACCATAGGTTTTGTATAACAGTGGAATTTAATTTTAAGAATAAATTATGCTAAACTTTCTGATCTGAAAGTTATGCCCCTATTTTCTGAGATTTATGGCTATATATAGTTATTTCCCACAACCACTAACTTTTTATTCTTTATTCTTTTATCATAAATATTTGATGGGGCAGCTAACAAATAGTAATTTAATTACAGATTAACTAAATAATAATAATCAACAATAATTTATAAAGAATAACAAAATTAGAGAAACAATAAATGTATCCAAAATCCAGGACCCATGATTCCCATGGACTTGAAATTTGGCAAATTTTATAAAATATTTTATGACATCAAATTATTATAAAATAGTGAATCACATAATCCAAAATGTGATAAAAATATTTCCCATGCAGACGTTCAACTGTGCTATAGTTTTTCAAAACAGATACATCTCTGAAAGTATCCCAGTTTTTCCTGTGAAGCAGTATATTAGAAACTCTGACACTGTTGAAGGCACTGAGGAATTGATAGAGGATGACCCAAGGGGGTCACGGATTGTCTACTAGATAATAAGTTTCAGGAGACTTGAAACTTTAGTAAAAAAAAAAAAATGACATCACAAATGTGGGCTGGAAATATTTCAGAAGTAATAACTACATTGAAAATTTGCCTGATCTGTGACTTTTGAGCAATTCCCTCATGGCACTATAACATAACATAACTGGTGCACTAAGTAATGCGCCAGAATTTCCTTCTCTTTCATTTTTGTGACTAGAATTCTCTAAATGAGCATCTCTTGAGATAAGAGTGCAGTGTTATCATCAAATTTCACAAAAAGAATTCCAGTGTCTTCCACAATATCGGTATTCCTCAACTTATGACCAGTTTCTTAACATCATTCAAAGTTATGGTATATCTCCCTCCAAAAACTACTAATGACATAATATCGAAGGTACAACCAGTGCAGCACATTATGAATGATTGCAGGGACACTAGTCTATCTCCCCCCCATCTCCCCCCACTAGGTTCCTGCAGGCCTTTCACTCCTTCATTGGGTTCCCCACAGGTGTTTCCCCTTCACACTGAGTCCCAATAGACCCTTCTTCCCCACCCCCCACTATGCCCACACAGGCCTTAGGCCTGATTCCCACCCCACCAGGGCCCATACCTTCCTCACCTTTTGAAGAGCGGGCATACACTAGGCCTCCCAGGGCCTCTCCCATCCAAGGCATCCCTTGTTCCACTTAATGGCCCACACATTCATTTAATGGCCACATCAGTGAGAGCAAAAAGTAGAGATAGTTAAGCTAGGCCATTTCATTTAACAGCTGTCATGACACGTGACCGTAATGGTCAGGCTCCATTATGGTCATATGTCAAAAATTACCTGTATGGCTTGGTTGGTAGTATTCTAGGAAGATGATCCGCCATTTGGTAGTTAGCCAGATGATGTCGGACAGGAAATGTTTAATGTACCTTTCTAACCTGCTCTCTCATACGTCGGCAGTACCATCCTACAAAGAACTGCCCAATCTCCCTGGAGATAGACATCTCTATTGACCCTAGGTACAGAGATACAGTAAATGACCTTTGGTCAAAAAACCACCTGCCTGAAAGTTTGTTATTACAACTGCCAGTGGTCATCTGCACCTGTTGAATTAAGTTTGAGCTGAGATGAATCACACAACAAAAACCGTTGAGTAATGGAGTTTTAAGTGGAATAGCCATTGCATAATCCCACTCTCTTGGCAGAAGAGACCTTACTTCAGTGGCATGAAAAGATGTTATGGCTAGAGACCTCTTCTCTTAGAGTAGGTGACCAGGATGTCTAACCATCTTGTGTTTTTAGCACTTTACATCTGCTCAGCTTGCCTTCTTGATCATTGGACTGTTGATTGGTCTCTTCTGCTCAATCTATTAGGATAAATTACACATTCTGGGATAGACAAGTCCCGTACCTCACTAAGGGTCAAAGTCCTGTCAACTGTCCTCACCTGGTTTGGCCTGTCTGTGAGATGGTTTACTGGGGTGTGGCCACAGGTGAGAGCTGAACGGCAGATGGGGGACCAAAGTTGAACAAGCAACACTAAAGATAGCAGATGGAGATGGCAGGCCCACTCCACCAGAGGCACTATCTTTCCCTGGATACACCATACACTCCAATATTCTAAGAAACTATTATAAATAATGATTGTACTCCCAAAATATCAAATATAGTACAAAAAACCCCAGGCTTTATACTTTATATTTAAATATTTAGCCATGAGGACTTTTCCCCCAGAAAAGTCTTCAGAGTATCTATCCATCCATCCATCCATCCATCCACATATAATATAGTACACATTTTTAAAGTCTAATGAGCATTTTTTTAAAAATATGTACAATACAGTAATGAGGGAAAGTATTAATAACATTAAAGCAAGGGCCAACTAATTAAGCTTATTAATCAAGAAAGACCTACAGCATGGATCTATAAAGGTTCCCAGAGAAAGGGAACATCTCAATTGCTGCTTCTCGGAAGGACCTATTTTTGGTCAGGTACATATCTGACAATGGCAGGACAACACAGACAAAGCTGGGCATGTCCTTACTGTTTCCTTTGTACCTGAGCTCCAGCCTTTTCATTTAGCTTGAAAAGTGAGCAAGGGAGAGATTGGCTGAGCAAGCAAAGCTTAGGGATTTACAAAAAGCCAGCTTGTTATCTATTCATTTTGGGAAAATAAATGGTTCTTAATTTGTATTTGATATAAACTCTCTGGAGGAGAATAAACACCTTATCCTCTCCTGATTCAAAACCAAACATGCCTCATTCAGTTGGTTTGGGGAGCCCTCAGAAAAAACTAGGACTGCCTTAGAACTAGTGAAACTGGTTTTTGCAGGCTTTATCTGCAAATCAAGTCATTTGATTTACTGATTGCTTTTCCTATGGTTGTATCCTCATGCTGGCATGGCTCCTCTACTGTTCTCATGATGGTTGTTTTTCCTTCACTGAAAGAGCTAGTGAACCATGTCATGTTGCTGGTAAGATCTTGCTCCAGGCCCCACGAATTGCTCTGCATCTGCAATTTCATGACCACCTGAAGACTGTGAAGAAAAACACCTGGAGAGCCATGAGCTGGACCTAGTGTTTCTCTGCTTATTCCTTGAGATGTATGTGGGAGAGAGAGCAGTTCCATAGTTACAAATATGGGTGGAAGGGTGGGCGGATAAGGCTAAGAGAGTGAATTAGTGATGAAGAGAGCATGGCTGCCCTCTCTCTGCCCTCTCCACAGCCCTCTTGATCCTTTGCAAATTGGAGAGTTCACCACTTGGGGGAAGAGTACAATGACCAAGCTCATTTATGCATATTTAAATAACTAAATAATTGCCAGTTTAACTGTAGAGAGAAATAGTGGGATCAGTGATGCTCATCAATCAAGGATTAGAACAAAGACACCTTTTGCTGATTAAAAGAAAATAACTTTGCTAAAGGCACTCCAGGGATTTGGTTTAACCACCATCCCCATTATTTTACATATTGTTTATTTGGTCAGTGCCATGGTTTGTACACCATGCTAAAGATGATTTATGGATCAGATTTTCACACTAAACTATAAATCATAGTTTACAGTCCAAAATGACTGTCACAAAATATCTCTTTATGGCATGAACCAGGGCTCTGCATGTAGTATATATTGGAGCATAAAACAGTTAAATTTTATATTTTGAAAACTTACAGAAAAAATTCTGATCTCTCACTTTCATCCAAATAAATATTATATGCAAATCCAACTTTTATTAAGTGAAAATGTGAGGGGCATCAGAAATTATTGAGCTTGTGTTTCCTTGTAAAGAAGTCACCAACATTTGATGGCAATTCTATAATATAAACCGTACGTATGTAATCATATAGCTCAAACAGTCTGAGGATTGGCAATTTTAATATTCCAATAGTTTCTGGTTCTGCATCTCCTTTTTTAAACCATTAACCTCATAATATTTGCTGTAAAGGCGGTTCACTGTCTGCTTTCAGTCTCAGTTCCTCTATAGGTTGTTTTTAAAATTACAGAAAAGACTGGCCTAATGCTTGGTTCTATAAGACTATTAGAAAATAATTGGATCTCCTGAGCAAAATGAATGAAATTGCCCTATCAAGTTATAGTTTGGATTTAGTAAATATTTCTGTTCAAAATTTTCATTTGGGGGCAAATGGGGGGAGTCACAGTCCCAGGACGTTTTGGTCCCTACAGCAAAGGACAAAGGCTTCCTTATATTCAATTTAGAAAAGGTACGTGGATTGGCAGATGCATTTCAGTTCAACGCCTTAGCAGTAGGTTGAGCTTCTTTATTCCTCTTAGCTATCTTGAAGGGTTTAGAATAGAGGATCTGGTGTGCAGTATATGTTTTCTTCTTGAATGGCTGTCTGTCACTTCCTGCTCTAAGCTTGCTCCTGCCTTACTTTGTGTAATGATAGGCCCTACCTACCCTCCTTGTTAAGTCTTAAAATGGATGGCCTCGAAAATCACAAAGTGAAGAATGACAGAGTAGGCAGGGATCCTGTTATTTATCATGCCTGCCCAAAACATTAACTTCCTCTATCTATCAATCCACACTAAAGGACCTCATAAAAGGGTTGTTCCATTTTGTCTACTAAGCAAGCTTAAGTGCTGTTTTCTAAGCAAGTAGGAAACGGCTGGTAACAGGTCGGAGTTTTAGTTCCAACCCAACCCACCATGGTCTCCAGAGACTCACTTTTTTTCCATCGTGGGCTACATCTTCCTTTTAACAGGAATCCTCCCACGCACATGGGGCTGTCTCATAAAACCCGTATGGGAGCTCCACGTTTTTTTCCACGCTGACCGTTTCACCGGAGGATGTCTGTAGCCTCTCAAAAACATTCCTCACACCAGACTCCTTCTGCCTGTCAGGGCTACTCTTTATAAAGTTATGTTGAGCTTAATGTGCTGAAAGTCTGGGTACAAAGTTGACCCCGGGCCCAGGATTAGCGGCGATTCACCCTTGCGCGTCCGCTTCCTCGTGTTGTTTTCCATTTAATACTGAATAGATTCCAATGGAAAGGCCGGGACACACGAAGTGCGCCAAGAACTGCCTCCTGGTCCCTCCTCGCGGAGGCGGCACGGCTTCACCAGAGCTGGAGGAACAGCCGGAACCGCCCGCACCTGGCAACCGCAGGCGGCTGGCAGCGCTGCCCGGCGCTACGGGAGGGACGGGGAGCGGGCCAGCCGAGGTCTCGCGGGATTTGTCGCCCCCAGGCCGGCCCCCATTCCCGTGTCTGGCGGGCGGGACGCAAGGAAGAGGAAGCACGAGCAGACCCGGACCAGACCGCCAGTGAGCTCTGAGGACGGCGCAGATTTGGCGGGCTACTGCTGCTGCCGCCGCCACCACCACGGAGCGAGCCCGACTCCTCCTGCCCAAGTCGCGTCGTGCGAGCGCCGATGGGGAGCTGCCGAGTCCGGCCTGAGCGTGGCGGCTGCTAGAGCGTGAGGCCCGGGAGGCTGAGGAAGGAGCGGCGGCGGTGGCGGGGCTGCAGCCCAGCCGGGCTCGCACAGCATGGGTAAGGCGGGAGAGGAGGGAGCCTTCACCCGAATTACTCCGATGGAATGACCTTTCCTTCCTGGCCTTTGGGGCGGGGGCCGCCCCAGAACTCTGCCTCGTTTCCTGCTGGGAGCGGAGAACAAACGTCTCGCAAGACGGTTCGTCCCTCCGCTCCTCTATCTCCGCAGCCCTCACTCAGGACTGGCGGCGGAGGGGGGGGGGGCAGGAACCCCTCCCGGCGCTCCGTAAAATCTTAGGGTGGTCTCCCCCCTCCCTCTCTCGGTTGGGCATTCTTGGCTGGTTTCGCTCTCTTCCCCCGAGCCAGACCCAAATAGGATGGGGGAAAGTAGATTTTTTTGCGGTTCACCCCTTCTCCGGCATCAAAGGTTGCAACTAGTCCTTGGGCGCTAAGGCTGGCTCAGTCGCATATTTTTCATCCTAGAAGACTCCAGAGTATCCAATTAGTCATGATTACGCGAACAGGTAGGATACCGGACAGGAAGCTTGAATGGGCTTCCTCCCAATTTAAGGCTTGAAAATGTAGTTGACTTACTGGTTCTTCTAAACTTTGTCCTATATTTAGAAAATAAGTAGGAACTTTTGTATCCTACTGATTGCTATTGACTTTTTTTTTTTTACCTTGGAAAGTGATGAGGAAGGAACTCTCATTTATTCAGATGAACGTGCTGTAATATTATGGCCTGCTTTTTGTTTCATGTGGAAGCATGTTTGGACTAGTGAAAATCTGTTGCTGTTTGCAAGGCACTATGATTGAGAGTCGCTGTAGATTTTTGTTGGATTACAGTTGAGACATTATGTACATTTGCCTTACTTCTGTGCTACGCAGGTAAGTGTTATGATAGGTTGTATGGCTGAGTATATTAAAAGTCTGATAATGCTTTTATGTATTGGTTTTTTTTGTGTCAGTTTCTTTAAAATAAAGTGAAAAGAGATTGCTAATTTTTTTCTGCAAGGCATATAAAGCCTGAAAATATATATGCTTCTTCAGAAATACTCTACAATAAATCTAATTTATCCAGTGTGACTATTCCTGAGTATTTGGTGTATTAGTTGTGGAAATAAATAAATCCATTGCAAGAAATATAGCACCTCCCCTCTCCATGGTGAGGAATATACACTATAGTTGCTAAGTACCGTAGTGCATGCATTTCAAAGTTGATAAAAACAAAAAGGATACACGTCTGAAACAAGAATGTTGGATCTCTAGGTAGATCTGTATCGGACCAAATGGATTTGTAACTTGATTTTTATTTGTAGCAAATAAAATTCTATGTAGATATTTTTACTTAATGAAGAATGGAAGATACAGTACATTTAAAGGAGAATCTGAATATTTTTTGAAAACAAAGTACTTGGTTTATTGCTATATAACAAAAACTGACAGTGTTATAATTGGAGGAAGTGGTAGTGGCTGCTAAAACCTAAATCCTGCTTTGGTTATTAATTAGTAATTGCTTCAGGTCTACTTCAAAAGTTTTCTCTGGAAAAATTATGTAATGTTGCTTGATAATATTTCTTTTTTTTTTTTTTTTTTTAATAAGGCTTTTTTTAATTCCCAGTTAGGAATGACATGAGGTTTCCTATAGATTTTACTTTAAATGTGACTGCTTATAAATTGTTATTGGTGAAGCAAAACCAATTTTTTTATTATAAATGCTATAGATATTTGTTTGGTGCAACAAATGTACTGTTAAATGTGTATATGCTGTTTCTTGAAGTTTTTTCTTTGCATGCAGATATATTCTCTATTTAATAGTGCACACATATATTTTAGCTAGTTTCTCATATAAATATTCAGTGTACTTCTTGATGCCTATTGTATGCATTGCTTGCAAAGACAGAGAAGTTCTAATCCAAAAGTATTCATACATACAGTAGTGGCCAAAATTATGGAAACCTTTTGGGAAAAGTGTATTTTTGAGGTTTGATGGCTAATAACACCACTTTTTTGAAGTAGTACTATTAAATTATCTTTCCATTGATATATAATTTTATCAAGAATGTAATGCAACATAGTTTGTTCAATTATCTGTACTGTATTCTATGAAAAGTTATAGCCAAATAACCAGAAAAAGGAAGCACAGCTTGCTTAGGTTGATATCACGTAGCTTTCCTTCATCTGATTGTAGCCAATGAGCATGAGTGTTTGGAGAGCCAATCAGATGTCATCTTGTTTTGGCAATGAGCCAGCCAGATCACAGTAGGATTCAGTTATTGATGTCATGTATTGAAGCTGAGAGGAGGACATTTGTCAATGTGTTATGTGATTGCTATCAAGTTGGTTGGGTTTTTTTTCTCTTTCATTTAGTGGACTTGTAAAACGTAATAAAATTAAAGTAATGGTGCAAGAGTTGACTGGTTGCCCAGAAAGCGATGTAAAATAGTATTATTAAGTGAACAAGGCTACAGTTATAAAGAAATTAGAAGAAAAATTGGTGGAAATTTAACCAAAAGTGGCATTTCTACTGTACACTTTTCCCAAGAGGTTTCCACAATTTTGGCCACTACTGTAGGACTGTCTGGCATTACAATCCATTTATAGCTAAGAAACCTGGTTCAGACAAGCCAAATCCTCCATTGAGATCATTCTTGTGATAATATTCTATATAATTAGATGGAATTCAATACATATGCTTGCGTACATCCAAAGGAAAACATTCTGTAAATATATACTGATGTGGAAGTGCTTTCAAAATGCATGTAAGCTTATTGGGTCTGAAAATTAACTTATCCTGTCTTAATTGAAACTGAGTAACAACTTGCTATTACACCTTCTTCAGTATCTTGAACATGATCATTATTTTGATAGAACATAAAATGAAAAACACTGTTCACTTTACATAGACTATAATATCTTGAAAGGGCTCCTGCTTACTCTTAGCAGCATGAATTGATAAATTTGATAAGAAAGTTATCAGTACACTTAACGTAAAAGTTGAGGAAATAACAAGGTAAATCCTTTGCCTTCTGGGACAAAGGATAGGATAGGTAGTGAGGGATAGTGGTGATCTTTCTTCTTTCAAGTGTTATGTGTATATACATTTTTACAATTCTCTGTTACTGATTTTAAGGAAGCAAGATATGTTTACTACCATAAGATTGCTCTATGTCACAGTTCTTATGCAAAACCACTCCTAGAAAATTAACCCTAGTGGGATACATGTCTACTATTTTCATGAATTTTAACTGGAACCTTTCAGATGGCCATTCAGTTCACTCTTTCTTCCACTGCTAAAACCCCCTTGCTTATCCTTAATGTCGATCAAATAATGATAAATTCCATTCTACTGAATCCAACCTACTACTTAAGCCTGTTTAAATCTTTTTGGATGTTTTTTCTCTCTTCTCTAAGGTATTAGCCCCTCCCCCCTGCCAGTTTTTGTTTGGGAGTAGTTTAAAAGCATGTTAATTTTTTAGAATTTTTAATGAATGTGTTGGGCTTTTTTAATGCATTGATATTAATTCAGACCTCTAAATCTATGCTAAGTAATAATGCTGATTTTTACTTTTTAATAAAACCATTGACATTTGATAAATGAGTTTCTGTGGGAAACTTTCAGTTACAAAAGAAATTGGTCCCCCATTGTTCCAAATGGTTTTGCCCACAAGGTAGAAGGATGGAGGTCTCAAACATTCTCTTCCAGAAGCTTTTGGGCCTTTCACATTGTAGCCAACACCTTCTTTGTGGTAGCAGCTAGTGATTTTCTGAAGAAAACGTTCCTCTCCTTTATTTACCTGGATGTCCTCCAGATTCCTTGAAATTCTGAACTTTAATTAGAGGATATGGGAAGCAATAGTAGTCCTATGCCTTTCATATTTGAAAGGGATCAAACCTTGTTTTATTTCTGTCAGAAGGACGGACTTAAATATTTTACTGTTGTAAATGACCAATAGTATCCCTCCCTTGTGGGGATATGGATTGGGAATCCAGTCATGAGAGTCTGGCTAGCAGTCTACATTATCAATGCTAATAACTATCTTTATTAACATGTATACCAAAGTTCAGTCAAGGTTTCAGGTTGGTTTACAGTAAAGTTTTCTACTGTACAAATACAGTAATAAGCTAAAAGCAGCTAATAAATCAAGGGATATATATTTAGAATAAACAGAAGATACAGTGATAATGAAATAAAATTTTTAAAGTTTAGATTTAGAACATTAAGAGAGAAAACACTGGATTTGCAAAATAGGTTAACCTCCTCTATAAATATGCCAAAAGGAATGCCTGAAGAAAGGTATACAGGAGAATGTTCAAGAACTGTTGTATCACCACCAGTGTTTAGACTTGTTTTTTGCTATCTATACAGAGAATATCAGAATGGGTTTCTAATCCCCAAAATACAGACAAGTGTATATAGACATTGGCTTAATAGGACATTATAGGCAGTCCCAATGCAGTGTAGGTCACTAAAATGTTAACTGCAGTTCCTGAATTATTTTTATAATCAGTTTCATGTACAGATAGTCCTTGACTTACAATCACAATTGAACTCCAAATTTCTATTGTTAAGCGAGATAGTTGTTAGGTGACTTTTGCCCCATTCTACTACTTTTTTTGCCACAGTTGTTAAGTGAATCATTACAGTTGTTCAATTAATAGCCTAGTTGTTCAGTGAATCTGCTTTTCCCATTTATTTTGCTTGTAAGAAGGTTGCAGAAGGTGATCACATGACCCTAGGACATTGCAACTGTCATAAATATGAATCAGTTGCCAGGCATTTGAATTTTGATCATGTGACCATGGGGATGCTGCAATAGTCATAAGTGTGAAAAATGATCATACGTCACTTTTTTCAGTGCTGTTGTCACTTTGGTCACTGAATGAACTGTTGTAAGTCGAGGACTACTTATATCATCATTAGCATTGAACAATTCCAGTCCTCAAATATGAGTAATCATCAAGAGTTCTGAGATTTTTTTAATCTAGCAAGTTCTGCAACCATGTTGACCATGTTTATACAATATTATAAAGTTCTGATGATAGAAAATTGTTTACATTTTAATTATTTATTTTGTCCCTAATCTTTCAAGTTTTCATGGATTCTTAGTATTTCATAGAACACAGTATAGAAACAAAAGGTATAAGGCCATGCCAGTTTTAGATTTCAGAGATGCGCTTATATTGGATAACATCAGTCACCCGTTTCATATTCATTGGCAGTGAAATTTGAAACTTAACTTTATTATATCCAAATATAGCATAGAACGTATTTTAAAAAACTTCACATAATGAAGAGGGAGGAATCAAGACTATAGCCATAATAGATACTAAAAACCAGAATAATAAAAAGTCTGTACTAGAGGAATATAAAATTCATATTGCTACTGTGCAGTTATTTTCCTTCCCCGTCTGGACAATATTTGGTGTTGGGCATAAGTGAGATCCAGTTTCCACTGCCTGAATCAAGAGGGTGAACTATATTGCAGCTCAGAAACAGCAAAAGGATCAGAAGTAAATGTAA